AATATATATATATATATTATAATTTATATAATATTAAATATAAATAATATATATAATATTTAAAAATAATATATATAAACTTAATAATTCCAAATTAGGCAAAATCCAAATAATTATAAAATTCCAATCAAATACAACGAATATCCCAATTAATAACATATAAATTCATATAAAATATAATTTACAATATATATATATATTTTTTTAAATATATATTATAAAAATTAATATAATTTACATAAATATCCAATATATTATATAATAAAAATATATCATATCCTTAATAATTTCAAATACGAAATAATAATATAATTCAACAACAAAAATTATAATAATTATATAATTCCAACTAAATAAATATATTATTAAAAAATAATCATATTTTTTTAATAAATATATTTTAGTATAATTTCTAAATAATTAAAATAAAATTTATAAATATTTCGATATTATTTATTATTATATATTTATATATTAATATATTAAAAAATATATTATTTTTTTCTTCAAATAAAAAAATAAATATAATTTTTATAATAATTTTATTTATATAAAAATTTCAAATAAATATATCAAAATTCCCAAATTTAAAAATCCCACAACACAAATATATAATCAATTTATCCAACTATAAATAATTTATAAATTTATAAATATATTTTTTTTACAATTTTTTATTAAAAAAAACTTATATTCCAAAACTAAAATTAAAAAACATATCATAATCCAATGCTGACCTTTAATTCTTACCATCAATATCATTATATTTTACAAAAATTACATTACGCATTTTGTGCTATAATACTTGCATAGAATATTTTTTTTTCCGTCTTATAAAAATTATATAACATATTTTCCAATATTATTTTAATTTTCCAATAATATTTTTTATTATAAAATTTATATGTTTTACATATTTATACAACATATTATCCAATACTTAAGAAGATTGGGGTAGACGAAAGATAGATTCTGCTTGGCGATTGCTTAGATATTCTTTGAGAATATATAATATTTTCTTAATCTATGATTTATGCTTTGTTATTTCGGATCAGAAAAATGTCGCTGAGAGTTGTGATGCTTCAAGCAGGCACAATAATCGCAGCAGCTTTGCAAAAAGCTTGTTCGCCAGAAGCGCGAACACGGGTCCGGCAGTAGTGCATGCTTCCATTCCTGACGACACCACTAGCCAATGAGTGACCTAATCATCTATTCCAAAAAAATAACGGGTCAAATTGATCATCATTTGTATCATTTTTTATAAATTTTTATAGGTCAAATGGGTTATCATCATCTGTACCCTCTGGTAAACTAACATAGCTATGGAAAATCACCATTTTTAATGGGTAAATCCACTATAAATGACCATTTTCAATAGCTATGTTAGTTTACCAGAGGGTAAATGGGAAGGTTTTTGGCTCATTTTCATCACTGAAATGTGCCGAAATGTCCTCCAAGGAGTTACCAACCTTGCTTGCAGTACCGCCACCATGGCATCCAAGGTTGGACTAGATGGCGGAAAGGGTATCTCCTACGGCGCGGTTGATTGGCACTATTGAAACTATTGATATTAGTAGAAGTTGTATGTCATTTACATACAATATACCAATAATAAAAGAAAACTCAAGAAATACCAATTCTATCTCCAAGATCAGTTTTGAGGCTTGCAAAACGCATGCGCAATATCAAGCAGGGTGGCTCTGTCCGAGACATGACCAACACATTCCAGGCATCGAACTTCCTGCGTGGTGCGAATGGCTGTGCGTTCTGCGTTCAACGTGAAGATCTTCGAAGCATTGGAGTCTTAAAATGGAGATATCCCAACATGCAATCTGTAACAATGACAATTGATTAGAGACTAGAGATCAACCAATAGATTTGGACAAACTCATTTGCATGTCATGAACGTCGTGAGCCTCATGACCGTCACCAATTGAGCTGTCTCTTTGCCAAGCCTCCGCCTGCTTTGGGGCCGGTTGGCACAAGACGCTCACCGCGTCCAAACCTCAGCCGCTCACAGCCGCAGCGGTCCCCCCCAAAAATGCAGTGTAGCGCTGCGCCTCTGCTTCGCCATGTCTCAAAGTCAGAGGCCCAGTGGTGATTTTCCAGAAACCACCTGACTAAACAGACGGGAAAATCAGGCACAGTCAGCAGAGATGTAAGGCAAAACAACATCAGTAAAGTTCATCAGGGTGCTACTCTTCAAGCAAGGTCGACCCATCTCTTTGCCTGAGACAAGTTCGGCAAAGACATCAAACATGTTGAAATGATTTTAACATGTTTTAAATAATACAAAGCCTCATCTAAAGAAACATTATTACGTTTTTTAATTTTCATGGGGCTCTTCTACATTCTCAAACTTTCTTGCCCTCTGCTTCTGTCATCCTATGTCATCCTTCAAATGCGTATGAACAATATTTTCTCTGGCTGTGTGACGCTCAGTCTCCTGCATTTCTTCCACGGTGCAAGTCACTAAGCGCAAGGGAACGCCTGGACTTAACACATCTACAGTTGCAGCATCTTGCATCAACATCCCAAGGAAAACGCTTGAATTCCTTGCTACCAAAAACGCATTGCCTGCTTCACTCAGAGGATCGACCTTCGCAATTTCCATCAGCTCAAATGATGAAACATGATGAAACTCTGGCTCTTGACACCTCCTGCCCTGGAGTTGGTAGAGCTGGTTTAGAGTTGGCTCTCAAACCTTCAGCTGATCTATCCTGCACAGGGAAAAAACAGCTGGCCATGCATTCATGCGTTTGATGTGTCAGGAGTTCTGGTGTCAAGTGCTGTAGTGTAGGAATGCAACACATAGCAACACAAAGCAACACCTAGCAACGCATGACCAGACGTTTTTTTCACACATTTTTGCTGTACGGGTTTGCGAGTCAAAAAAGCACAACAGGGATTGTCGCAAGTGACGGCACGAATATGGCTAGTGAAGAATAGTCAAGATATGTCACGACGAATGAATAATACGAATAATACGAATATTGATTGACATTCACTAGCCATGTCAAGCTGCCACGTGCTATGTCTGTCCACATTTCACCAAAGATCATCAGGTCCCGGCGCGCAGCAGGCTGCGATGCTGTACAAGCTGATCTTAGGTCACCCGAAGAGGGCTTAAATAACCAGTATCTAAGCTCATTTAACGTCTTAAAATGTCATAACATGTAAACCTGTACCTTTTTTGTGCATGTACAAATCATACTTTTCGCATGCATGTGGTAATTTGTGCAACTGGTAACTAATATTGAACATGTATATGATGTATACATGATATGCTTATGTGTCTATACATATTGCATAGCTGCATGCCCTTACGTATCTGTATCTCTCTATATAATATATACATATGTGTGTGCAAAAGGTCACACATATATTATGTTTATCATATGTATAATGTAGATGTAGATGCATCCCTGGCCGAACTCTCCGAAACGGCCCTTTCATTTTCTGCAATGTGTTTGATATATCAGAACACATGGGAAAACTCTTGCGATCCACGTGCCTATGTTGCCAAATGTTGCCAAAGGTGCCTGTGGCTCAGCCGCTCAACTCATTTATTGTCCTCTTTTGGAGGATCGAAAAACGTTCCTCGGTCTACCACGTTCTTCGTCACGTTGGAGATCAATGGAACTCCATCAGGATCTTTGCCGTCAAGATTGCACAGGACTGCGTACCTTACCAGCACAGTACTAATTAGCAGCTCTACATCTGACAGGCGGATATTTGATCCCTGGTATTTTTTCAGTTCAACTGGTTCTCATCACAAAAGCCATCAAAGAATTGGAGCAAGCTGCACCGAAATGCCGAAGGTCAATGCAAAGGTAAGGCCACCAAGGATAGAAGCGACCTGGAATTCCAGCACCGGGACGGGTCACATGGCAATCCATGGGTCACAACATTTGCAAATCAAATGCATGAAGGTTCCCAAAAAGAATATTCAACATTTCTTCGCGTCATATCATTACTCTAGGTGATGGTCAGAAAAAAACCTGAAACACCTGAGGCCGAACGCTGACTCGACCAGGACTTAGTCCGATGGTTCCACCAGCAGTCGCACCTCCAAGTTCCCAGAAAATTCCAGGGTCGATAGGATGAAGCTTGGAAGTGTCAGCGCCATGTCAATCAGGACCGCCTGTTTTGTTCGCCAAAGTTCTGATCTGATGGTGATATGTTGCGGATGCCGAGCATGATACCACTGGATATCAATCAGATAATATCAGATATCCCTGATATCCCGGACTTCCACACGAAACAATGTTCACTCGAACTAGTTCAGTTCAAAAAATCTGTCTCAAAAGGTCCTGCTCCAAGTTGAAGCGAACCAGGCGCGGAATGTCCTTGGCACATCAGGTGGAATTCTAGAATTGACGACCAACGCTTGATAATCTCTGGTCAGCTTTGAATATCCTCAGTTGCTGTGTAGAGAAACCATCATAAAGCATCTGGCGAATCACTAAGCCACTAAGAAGTGCCTAGATATGCCTAGATTCCTTCACTTGCGCAAAGATGATGAATGTCACGAAGAGAATGAGTGGAATAAAGGGGATGGTATTCAGGAGCACTGTCAACAGGGTGATCGGTCCAAAGATCACCCCTAAAGGGTGGAACTGCTGCACCAGTGGCAGCATGAATTTAAAGGCCTCAGTCAACGGCAAGATGTAGGCGAGGCTTCCGGTAAGTCGCGGACCCAAACCTCAGAGACGTGAAAAAAAACGGTGCTGTCCAGAGTGAAACTGGTAGGCTTCAAGAATACCCTCTGGTAATTTAACAGTTTGCTATTGAAAATCGCCATTTATAGTGGATTTTCCCATTAATCATGGTGATTTTCCATAGCTATGTTAAATTACCAGAGGGCATTTGGATTTGCAATGGAAAAAGTCCTATAAAGTCGCACGTTTTGATTGCAGAGCAATTTGTTGTTTTCCAAACAATACTGACTTCAACACACAAAAATGTGCTTTCGTGACGGCAAATAGGGGTGTCGCTCTTTCCTCAGCCCCTATTGCTCCTCACAGGAAATCGAACATTTTGAGAAATGGTGGCAGGTTCCATTTACATCCCTTCATACCGTCGACCCTTGCTCAACATGGCATCCATTTCAATGGGATCTTTCATGAAATAAACCATCCAGCTATTGGGGTCCTCCATTTTTGGACACCCCCATATGTAAATTAATGTAATACGGTATAGTGGTGTTGGATTTGACAGAGAAAAACGACCCAGTTATTTCTTGTCTCCAAGGAACTGCGATCGTCGTTCACGACTTCTCCCATTTCAGGTGAAACTGTCGTTGAACTGGCCGCGTTTGCCGCATTGGCCGCTTGGTTTGCCCGTTCTTCTTCCCGCTTCTTGGCTTCCGCCTGCCTCGCCTTCACATTTTCTGCTTGGATCGCAGAGAGTTTCTTGTCAAAGGCTTCGGACGCCAAGTCCTCCAAGCGGAAGAAGTATGGCTCTTCCTGAAAACCCATGGCCTGTGCCAGTGCCAAGCCTTGTTCACCTGTCAATTCAGTTCCTTCTTCTTGAAGTCGTGCCATGAGTTCCGGCAATCCAATGCCCATCACCTCGTCAGACCCCAAAATCCTCACAGCTCGTTCCTTGCGCTGCGCAGTGGCTGTGGCTTTGCGCAGCTCATCTGCTTCTGCTCGAAGCTTCGCCTGGTGACGGCTGGATAACGGCTGCTGCTTGCGCCATCAATGCCCAAGTTTCATCGTTAGGTACAGGAACGAACCATTCACAACATCAAAATATAACAACATATATATAGCAAGTTTATTTGAAACTGCTAGACAAACAGAAATCACGGAAAAAGAAGAGAATCCGAATTTCCCAAAATCATTGTCCGACTGCCACCACGTTGCAGCTTCCAGCTGCAGTTTGGCCGCTTCCGCCGCAGCTTTGGCTTCTGCCAACAAGGGATCTGCTTCCCCTTCGGCGCGGCAACGCGTGAGGTTGGCATTGACGGACCTGATCCCTGAAAGCTTTCTATGCTTTCTGCAGGCTACAGCGGCTGACACTAAGCCCATTGAGCCCATGACCATTCTCGGTGCCATGGAGGAACCATGGGAGCCCATAGCTATTGGGGCGGCAGTGGCCGGAGCCACATGGCTAGCTGCATCAGGCACCAGCTGTGGCACCAGCTGTGGCACAAGTCGAACAGGTCGAGGCTGCATGGCGGAAGTTCAGAAAGGCGATATAAGCTGAGCCAAGGCTGATCCAAGTGTGGAAGGTGTGGAAGGTGTGGAAGCAATCCAATGTTACAATGTTCACACCTATTGTTTGTCTATTGTTGGTGTATTGTTTCTGTGGACGGTGCATAGCTGTTTAGCTGTTTTTTGTGCACCATTTTGTTGAGATCCTCCAGATGATGCCAGATTCAGATGTATCTTGATCCCCGCCTGCGAGGTGTGCGTTTTGTCTCTGGATTGCGGGTCAGGTCGCGCCTGAAGACACGGCAGTTCCAGACGGCAGTTTCATGGTATGTTCCCCAAGGAACTGAGAACAACATGAACACCTGAGATGTTGCGTCAAAACATCAGAGATCCAAGATAATCATAGAATTTCATGGATAATCTACATTGTAGACATATACTGAGGCATAACTTGGCATAACTTGACCACTTTATAAAGGCTGAGACGACCATCGACTCGGGAGTTCTAGCCTTGGCGCACTCAGAACGATCCTGGTGAGCTCATCATGTTCCAAGTTGGTCAAAGTTTAGGCTTCTGTTTAGCTTTCAATATCTTGAAACTGTTTAGGCTTCTTATAGTTGGATGATGTTTTTTGATATTCATCGATATTCATCGATATTCATCGATATTTTATGATATTCCATTGTTGCGATTTGCGCCTTAGGGCCTTGCTCTTCCCCCTGTCCTGTTGTTCTTTAGGATGTCGGTTGATTCTGAATGTTTCTCATGCCCTCTCATACAAATGGATTTTTTTTATGTGTTTTTTTCACTTGAATCTGATTTCGTATAAATCATTTCCATGTTGGTATGAGCAGGTACTGTCCACATATCGACACTGGGACTCGGACGCCGCTTCCAACCAGAAAATTCAAACATCTCCGGCTGTGCCAAACAGCACTGGCCTTAGCATCAAAATCGCCTCATGCTCTCTCAGCCAGTAAGGTATAACTCGGTAGAATCCTGAATTGTTCATTGACAACTTGGAAAATTCATGAAAATTCAGGTAACAGCTATCCAGTAAACTGGATAGGATCAAAGCCTGAAAGGGAAATGCAGGTGTCTGCATCCCCTGAGGTACCCTGAGGCACCCTGCAATAAAAATTGCAGACACTACCACCGCAAACCCGCAAGATGCCTGCCAACTTCTAACCTGCACCTCGACCCAACAAAACATCAGTAGGAAACCGTTGAATTTGGCTATCCGCAGTATCCTTTAAGTCGGATCTGTCTATTTCCCAGTTGAAATGCTGAAACTGGTTGGTATATGCCTTGCGACTCCATCGCGCCGGCAAACTTCTCATGGCCAATGCCAAGGTTCTTGATGAGTCTTGCAAAACTGATGGCTGAAATATGTAGATATGGCGCGATAAGCGTTTGGTGATTTTAAGATAGTGCATGTCTCTGTTGAGTTCAAATCACTTTCAAACATGCAAGGTAAAGAACTCAGGGGCTTGAGAACGGTTTTCTATGGCTTGAGACTGGGTAACTTGAGATATTTGGGCCAGAGAACCAGCTTTCAAACTGAGCCAAATTGCCAAAATGCAAAGATCCAACAAAATCGGCACCCGCCAAGCTGGTCAACAAAATCAACATTGGTCGGGAAATCGCATGTGAACCTGAACTCAGCAGCAAAACCTGTCAACCGCCAACCTGTTCGCTTTTGGTCTGCACAAAATCGTCGATGTGTGCCACTCCCAGCTGGACATCAATGGTACAACCTGGAGTTGATGCCAGGCATTGCCAGACTATCTGGTCTGCACATGTCTCAAATATTCTCAACTGGTGAGTCACACTGCAAAAAGGAGAGATCACGGGTATGTCTTGGAATACGATCAGAGCGATTGGCCAAGTGGCCCTAAACCTGCCAGTCCTTTGGGCAGATTTATCAAGGTCCTCCAGTGTCCAGGTTCTTCCATAGAAGTGGTGGATCTATGAATATCTCGCTAGAATCAATGTGCAAGCTCGCAGCTTTTTGACGCCGCTTGGCTCAAATGTCCAACGTTTTTACAGGATCAACGGCTGTTTCTGATCGACCAAATGCAGTTGCATGCTTTGACCTTTTCGCTTGCACCTCCTTCTACATCGTCGACACCTGGAACCATGGTGAAAGGCATTGTGAAGTAGAAAAAAATTGCACTTCTGGACCTCAGAAGTCATGGTCATGGAAATTAGTGCATTGCAGGCTTTGAAATTAGCTGAAAACTTTTTATCCGTGTTGTTTCTGTGAAACAGCTGTAGCACGTTGCAGACGTTACGCAAAGCTGAAGATTGACAGCCTTTGCGGCGACATTTCAGGTGAATATCCCTCAGCTCAAGGGGGGAACTTGACAAGAGCACAAGTCACTGGGTCGTTTGGTACTCACATGCCCTCCCAATGCGAACAAGGACTGGTCTGCCATTAGTCTGTTTACGGCAAGGTCTGGGGCAATTCTAGGTTTTTCTGCAAACGACGGCCGTTTTTGCGGTTTTTGCAGTGAACTCGTTTGGAGGATATTGGATTACACGTTTCACCAGATACACCAACATCCTGGAACTGGACCTTTCAGTCGCCGTAAATGTTTGAAATTTGCAGGCCCGAAGAAAACAAGGAAGACATATCCAACTGGAGGAAGAATCTTGGGGATACTCCATGACAAGATCTTTATGCAAGTTTTTCCCTCATCGAAAAACAAACTAATCGCTTAGCTAGCCGACCTTCAAGTTGTGTCAGGTGAGGGATACCAGATATCCAGGGTATACCAAGGCAAATCTCACCATGGCTTGACCAACTCTGGACACAGCGGTGACCTCAATAGAAAGCTGCATCCTGCCCATCTGCCGTGGCTGAAACCATCCTTTTGTGAACTCCGAGAGTTTCAGCAAATGGCTGGCGTAGATGTGTACAAGGCCCGACATTTAGCCACCATATGCCACCATATTTTGGGTGACACGACATGTGGTCAAGACTGAGACTGGAAGCACGGGGCATGCTGAATAGCACCCAATGTCTCTGGATCATGGCTGGATATTTGCCGCAGCAACGACACAATGTTTCTGTTATTCCTTGGGCCTCTGTTTGGTGGGCCTCCCAACAAGGACTGGTCTGATATCAAGCTGTTGGAGTCAAGGACTAGGCATGGCCACTGTCTGCAAACCAAGAGGCATGGGACTTTTCGATCTGCGTTTGCCCCAATGCGACACAAAGTTTCCGGGAATGCTCTGTCCCAAGCCAGCTTGCAAACAAAACTTGCTAGCGCAAGTCTGATCTCACAATTTGTTTTCATCGAAACAGGTACGGCTGTCTCGTCTACGGTTGTCTACATATCATCTACAGATTAAAGCTTGATAATTTTGCAGGGGAGTTTGAAAACTATCTGTGCAATCTGGCAGTTGCAGTGGCAAAATGATTGGGTCTAAATAAATATCAATATCCCTTTTGGAAAACAAAAAGGGACGCTCTCCTTGTATCTTACCTTTTTGTCCCTTTACTGGCCGTCCCAGTGTCCAGTCTCACACTGCAGTGACTTGAGAATGCGCAAGATGTACATTGGGCATCGTTTGGTGTGAAACCCAAGGCTTTCAACACTTTGAATATCTTAAAATTCTCAGGATCAGCCACCTTGTTGGAGTCGACAGAAAAACTTTGGGTCGAGCCCTTCCTGTAAAAAGGCTCCCTTAAGTCGCTGTGAGACATCGAAACATATCGAAAAACCGCACGGCCGATGTCGTGATTGCTGGGTGATTGCTGGGTGTATCTTAACAGCGAGGTATCACTCCCCATCTCCTTATCTTATCCATCCCAAATCATCCCACCATGTCTGCATCTCCAAAGACACCTTGCAAACAGGATCTGCTCGTCACAGAGTTGAGAAGATGCATCTCATTTGTTTCAACCATTTCCGTTGGAATCAACACAAGGCTGGAGTTTGCGTACCATTTGCCATCCTTCACCTACTGTTTTTCCTTGCGAGAAAGTGAGATGTAGCCAAGTTTGAACCTATATCCTTCAACCAGGGAAAAGAACATCTATCATCAACCAATCCTGAGAAACATGTACACTTCTGCTGTCTTGCATCAAGTGCCGCAGGGCATTTTTTCAGCGGAGGTTTTCACTGACGAATGACCAGCATAGCAAGGAGCATGTGCAAAGCACGACTTGCGTGACGTTCAGTGTCTGCTAGACGATTTCTTGCTGATATTCACGTCATTTGGCAGTGTGTAAAAACCTTGTACCCCTGGTGAACCTCAAAATAGCTGGTAAATGGATGTTCATCCCCCTAAAAATGGTATTAATAGGTATTGACCCATCCCCATTTACATCATCATCCAATAATCTGCACCTCACAGTGAACGCGATGTAGGATGATGCCGCCTTTGATTCAACTTTTGCTGGTGACAGCAATCCCAACAAACCAAAGCTTGGTGTTTGACGATAGCTGTCAATAGAAAAGTGCCCTATCTCTTTGAAGCCTCAATGACTAAAAAGAAATCACCTGATCTTGGTACCACTGGTGCCACAACATGGTCTTGGACATGTCTCAAGTCGCACATTCTTCAGAGGATGGTCGTTGATTTCAATTGGTTACAAGTGGATCGCCTTACAGTGACCTGACAGTGGTTGCAATTGGTTACTTTTTTGTTGTAACCAATTGTTGTAACCAATTGGATACAACTGGATACAGGCCACAGACTTATTTTATCTTATTTTTCTTCAAAAAGGAGAAAACACATGAACCAAATCCGACCTGGCGACAACTTGGTGCCGCGAGCACAATAATGCACACCAGGACCAAAGCTGCGAACGGAATCCACGGGTTGCACGGCAAAGATGATGACCATGGTGACAATGGTGACACCAAAGCCTGACTTTGGTTCAAACTATTGGGTGTTTCAGACAAGGCCATCCATTTCGGAAGCCTTGTGGTGTGGTTAAAAACGGAAACAAAGTGCAGGAAACCACACTTTTTAATTACTACTTTTTAGCATGAAAACTTGGCTATTC